GACACACTTTTTTAAGCTTTTTAAGTTTCATGATCCTTATTTCTTTTATGTAGATTTATTGTACATACACAGCTGAATACAGGCGGAAAATATGTAAAACAGGTGTCGTCGTATTTTGTATTTTTTTGTATATTCAAGATATTTTTGGCGAGGCTGGTCAGAGCGGTCAGAACTGATCAATTGATATATTTGAGAATGAGAGCGTTGACATGTCCCAAATTCGATCTCAATCCCAAACTCAATCTCAGTCTTAAGTTTCCTCTTCTGATAGTAAACAATGTTGTTTAGTTTTTCCTGGCGATCTTAACAAAATGTCAAAGTTTGGTTTCTGTGACTTATACACCTGTTAAGATTGAAATAAGGTAAAGAATTGGTTGTCTTATATATTCTTATTGGGGGGGGGGGGGGGGATATTTTAAAAGCTTTGGAGGAGACGAAAAATGGAACTTGAGAAGTATTTTATAGTTTTATTTGTCTCTCAAAACTTATTTCTCTTTTTTACGGTTAATGTTGTTATTTTAAAATCTATCTTATCTTATCTTATCTTATTGTTGGCATTCACTTGACGTTGGCTCATTCTTTCTTAAGAAATTTCATCTTGAGATTGATATACGGTTAGTATGGCATCCCTAAAACTCTGATTGATTGATTGATTGATTGATTGATTGATTGATTGATTGATTGATTGATTGATTGATTAGGGATGAAGGAGAGATAAAGGACGGATCTGGAGAAAAATTGAAAAAAGGAAAAATTAAGAAAAAATCCAAGTCGAACAAATCTTCGATGGAACAAAGGTAATTTGTATTCATTATACATACCATGCAAACTGGTTAATTACTTTGGCCGGGATGAAAAATTAGAAATTTGAATAATGTTTGATTATCAAAATCATCTTATCTTTTAACTTTTTATGATTTAATAAATTATTTCATTATTTAATCTACACAAGTTCTTATCTTGTAAGAATATATAAGTGTCCCATTACATTGAACATTATTGTACAATTTTAATCTGTAATATATTTTAATTAAAGATTACCGAGTTATCCTCCATCTGAATATGCTCCAGAAGTATCAGATCTAACAGTTCATCCGGAGGAGAGAAAACTCACCTTCTGTGCTCAACAAGGAACACTTCCAGATATCAGTACGTTGGTTGGTTGGTTGGTTGGTTTCCACTTTTTATTTCTTCATTTATTTGGTTCACTACACTATTGATTGATTTATTTATTTATTTATTTATTTATTTATTTATTTATAGATTTATTTATTTATTTATTTATTATTTATTTATTTATTTATTTATTGATTTAACAACTTTATTATCAGGTTTAATCCACGGTCGTTTGCTTGTGAGTGCCTGGGAGGACGGTATTGAAGGATGTGAAGACGACGCTGTTACTCTCACCATGGTCGCGGTCCAGCACTTTCTCAAGAATATCATCACGTCGGTTCTAGTCTCTAGAAACCCCTGGAGGAGTAGGGAGGGAGCTAAACATAGTATAGGTAAGGAGAATAGAGGAGTAGATAGGGAGCTAAGTATAGTATAGGTAGGAATCATAGAGGAGTTGGGAGGGAGCTAGACATAGTATAGGTAGGAACCAAAGAGGAGTGGGGAGGGAGCTAAACATAGTATAGGTAGGAACCATAGAGGAGTGGGGAGGGAGCTAAACATAGTATAGGTAGGAACCATAGCGGAGTAGGGAGGGAGCTAAACATAGTGTAGGTAGGAATCATAGAGAAGTAGGGAGGGACTAAACATGGTATAGGTAAGAACCAAAGAGGAGTTGGGAGGGAGCTAAACATAGTGTAGGTAGGAATCATAGAGAAGTAGGGAGGGACTAAACATGGTATAGGTAAGAACCAAAGAGGAGTTGGGAGGGAGCTAAACATAGTGTAGGTAGGGAGCATAGAGGAGTAGAGAGGGAGCTAAACAATAAAAATAGTATAGGTAGGAACTATAGAGATGTTTGGAGGGTTTGATTAATTTTAATATCTAGGATGTCCTATACCTGATCCCTGGTTACAGAACACCCAGCTAAACCGGAATTATCTGGTAAACTCGAGCGCTGCCACTGAATCTACTCTACTAAATGAAGCGGGATTGGCTCCTATCTCAAGGTACAATGAAAGTACTAAAAATTGAAACCTTTCTATTAATATTTTATTTTGGAGATATATGTTTCATAAATTTCTTTTTCTCGGTAATAATTGTTTAATATTGGGTTGCAATCAAAATTCTGTATTATCTTGGTCCGCCCCTTGCCCATCCAGTTTGGAGGAATTTTGAGCATCCCTCTGCTTGGTGAGGACAGAGAAGGTGTCCCTTACAGACTTAATCAGTTGGTAAAGGGTGGGGCTCGATACATCTTTTGCGAGTTATGTCATATTTAAGAGAAACCTTAGTCTTCTTAAATTAAACAGCAACTCTTAAATCCTACGTTTGGGTCTTTTTTAAGCTTTTGGCTAATAAAACGAATCCAGAAATACGCTGTAAAATATACGTTTGATTTTTTTCCGGAATTACGTGTGTACCTTTAGTTATACCAGTAATTTTGATCTGATTAACAATGAGGTAGATGTCGTCATTTCATATTAAGAAGTGTTGCTGCATAAAGTTCGCAAGTCACTGAAAGGCACCCACAATTAGAAATTATCAATTTTTACATTTAAAAAATGAATATTTTTATCATTTTTGTTCATACAAAAATGTCCAGGGTACCGCAGTGAATCAGGCATGCCCCTCTTTTTTAAAGAGAATATTACTCAAGGTTATAATGCAAGGAAAGTTAATTGCAGTTGCGTATACTCTGCGTCATATTGAAACCAGTTCTCTCTGGGCGGAATTTGTAAACAAGAATAGATGCATCAGTGTTTGTTTAGTATCCGAGGAGGTTTAAAAACATTTAATTTTGATAATTTAGATAATTCACATAATAGTTTCCTATGACCAGAATATTTCATTGATTTTTTTATGTGAAAGATGTATCCCAAGTCAGGCTTCGACATCCGTCTTGTGTTTACATTACCGACCAGAGACAGTACACTGCAGTACAAAAGATGCGTACACCTCTGAAATAGCTTTCCTTGCATTATAACCTTGATATTACTTAAAAATACGTAGACAGTGCTTTTAAAGAAAAAAATAATTTAAAAAATATATTATTTAAATTTTAGACCTGACATTGACAAATCTGAAGCGGAAGCGGCTTATCAAGCTGGTCTCGGGATCAACAAGTAAAAATTACATATTTTTGAAATCTTAAAAACTTTTATTTTTTGTTTTGAGTTTTCCCATTATCTTCAACTAATTTTTCCCCTCTGTATCGTGTGTCTTAAAAAATGGTATACTCTTAAGAAACTACATTTTTTACGTCTTCCAAGTTTATTAAAAAAGAATTCAAAGATTAATTACAAATTGTTCAGGATGCCTGGGCTTAGAGAACCCATTTCTTTATTCGATCTATTAAAGGTAAACAAATACGATTTACAAATTTTTGTCGATGGTCGAGGCGAGGTCTTGATAAATACTGAACAGATTATTTTGGAATAAAAAAGCGCAAACATTATTCTCTGAAATTTCGAGAAATATGGTACCTTGATTCTTGAATATAAATTCCTCCTTAAATTGATTTTATACTTGATTTCATTTGAAGAATAAAAAAATATGTGTCTTGGACTTCTTAACATCTTATTGATACTGTCCCTCATAAAGCCCATTATTTCCCTAGCAAATTAAATTCATTTACGAAAACATACCTTTTAACAGAGTTCAAAACTGTTTGATGCCTGTATAAAAACGTATGATCTCGATATCCTCTGTGGGCACTTATGATTTTTCTCAGAATCTAACTGATTTCTTAATATTTCGCTGTTCTCTCATTGGCTGTACGCAAAATTTCCTGGCTACTAATTGGCTGCTAGTTTTTTCACTCATCACAGAATATCGAATAAAGATTATATTAATCTATAGCTGTAAAAAAGATCGATATCAAGCATTGATCTCGAAATCCATATTACAAAAGTTCCCACTTCAGCTATATTTTTTAAAGAAAATACTCTCCATTATATAATTGCTAACCAATTTATTGTTTAGGTTTTAAAATCTGATAGTAGCGTGATACCGAACCATTCTGTTTACAGTCTTAATATGGAGAGAATAATTATGCGGCTTCATCATGATTAAGCAATAAATGGGACTAGTCGTAATTTCGTGTCAATTTCTATTCACAACGGTACCATTCACAGTGTTGTTTGATCATGAATGAATGAGATATCCCTGTTTATATCTTTAAAAATTAGTTATTTTAATTGTAACTTTCAAGTTAGGTTAACGACGATATTTGAAAGAAATGAATTTATAAGGTACTTGTGTAGATAGGACATGTCCCTCTTTTTAAAAGAAGGGGTACTTGAAAAATTACGATGACAGTCCTTTAAATTTTTTAAATTGATCGTAGGCGTAATTTTAAGTGACCCTCCTTTTCTACAGTGGCATATCCGATTAACAACGGTACCTAGTCATTTTTAAAAGAAGATCGATATTGTCATGTTTCTTTTTTCCGCTTTTATTCTGTACGCCTGGAAACCCAAAACTTTAATGGTCTTTTTCTAGTATTTAATGATATAATTCTCAATAGTTTACATTACATACTGTTAAAAAAAACGTGAGTGTTGGAACCATAATTTATCGATTCAATTGGTCAAATATGAAAAATTGCTTAGAGCTTTCAGTCTTTGTGAAAGTTGTTCAAAAGATTGAGGTACTTCGAGGTTGGATCACGCAGTACTTCGAGGTTGGATCGCGCATTACTTCGAGGTTGGATCACGCAGTACCTCGAGGTTGAATCGCGCAGAACTTCGAGGTTGGATCGCGCAGTACTTCGAGGTAGGATCTCGCAGTACTTCGTATTTTCAACATCTACCGTTTTTTTAAGGAGAGTAAAAATGAGAACTAGATCTATTTACATTTATTTTGTTCCACATTAAAATAAAATTGATGTAACCTTGTAAAAACTCTGTAATACTTATTTGTATTGTCAACCTATCATGTTAAAATAAATTGTAACATTATCTTCTATAATAATAAAGATTTCAGATGATTAATAGATGAGAATGGGTTCAGGGGAGAAGGAGGGAGAAGGTGAGGGGGAGAATGAAGACCTTCAGCATAAGGAATGATAATTGATTTAATTAATTTCCAAAAAGAAGTGTTTTCTTTTAATCTGATAAAGCTAAACGAATTTAAATTTTGGCGGGAACAGGTGGTGGTACCATGGCTCTTGTTTAATTGTGTTTAATAGAGGAAAGAATTTTTCGATTGAAATTTTCGTTGGAAAACCAAAAGCTAAGACATAACTTAACCTATGATTGGAGCCAAGGACCGAATTTAATTATAATTAGAATCACCGATCTTTCAGTAATCCTTAAATTTTGAATCGGTGGTTCAAATTTGAACCGGCAGAAGGTAGTTCTAGTTCAGCGACGTAGCTCAAATTTATTGAATTCGGTCCAAACTCGAAGGAATCGCCAAGCCTTTTATTTGATGAAAACTCTTAAAAAGAATAATAACATCCGNGGGGGGGGGGGGAGTGAATTGATTTTTTAAGAAAATACCCCTTAAACCATCCCTTGCATTTTTTTTACAAGAAAGTTTGTTAACATTTAGGAAGATGCAAAAGGATGGGCGGGGAAAATACGAATAATATTTTCGAGGAAAAAATATAACCATTTTGTAATTTGGAAAAAAATGGTTATTTGTTTGTTGTTTTTTTTTTGTCAGTAGTTAATTGTTTGTTGAAAACATGGTTATATTATTGTCAGTAATGTCAATGGTGGTTATAATTTTAGCGTCATATTTTTCCCGCCCATCGAATAGGTTTGGGAAGAGATATAGTTGATATATCTGCAATTAATTTTTATTGATTCGTGAAGAGCTATACAAGGACGATTGGAGAAAAATATGTTCTCTCCGTCATATCCGCCTGTGTCGCGGAGTTCGTAACATATCCTCTAGATCTTACTAAAACCAGGCTTCAGCTCCAGGTATAGTTCAAGCAGTAGAAGTACGAATATTAATATTATTGTTGTTTTATCATGTTATTGCTTCCATCATCCATCATATAAACAGCGGAAGACATTGCCAAAAGGTTTTGGCAACAATTTAGCAACAGTTTTGCGTGAGCTAAGTCACTTGTGTATTATGAGTAAATCGTTTTTGTATTAAAGTTAGAATTCTTAAACAGAAGAATATGAAAATCTTGACACACATCCATCATCCATTAATGCGTTTTAAACAAATAGCTACCACCATGAGGCTAAAAGAATTTGTTTGTATTAATTTGGATTCATAGGATTATTCCAAATATAATCATAGGAAACGAATTGGGCTTATAAAAATGAGCTCAATATCCCTCAACAAGGATTCATAAAGTATGATGCCTCGTATTTCAGGGTGAGCGCGGTATCGGTGGTACAGTGTACAGAGGAATGATATCAACTGCTGTAGGGGTAGCTAGAGAAGAGGGAATACGAGCTTTATGGCAGGGTATTAGTTAGGGTTTCCAGCAAAATAAATTCCCGAAAATTTCGCAAAAAAATTGTTCGCCGAAATTTTTGAATTTTATCGCATCTCGCTGGAAACCCTAGTAACAGTCGATCTCCATGAGTTGTGTGGATATTCACTTATTTGAAACAATTTAGAGATAAAAATATAATTTGCTGGAAAATTGTTTTGTTATATATAGTTTTTGACCATAAAAGAGATTGCATAAGTCCTTTATCACAACTGTTGAAAGTACTATTTCTTAGATTTGAATTATGGCGGATTTTTTTGCTTGAAGAGGAAGACGACTTCTCTCTGATATAATATATTTCAGGCGTATCACCAGGTATGGGACGACATATAATCTACTCTGGAGCTCGGATGACTATTTACGACCTGGGCCGGGATATCTGGAAGGGTTCAGGGCGGGAACTAGAACTGGTTCACAGAGCTATCCTAGGTAAATGTTAATAATTATTTTTTATTAAAATAATTTGGATAATCATTTAAGATATCTTAAAATTCAGTCTAGGAAACTTTTTAAATCATATCTGTAAAACATAAACTACTGGATTCTTATCTTTAAAAATAGAATGTGATGTAAATGTTAAACAATATCTAAGATAATCTTCATCGGTTGTAAGTTGTTAGATCTCTGTTTGTCTGTCTATTTGTATGTCCATTTGTATGTCCGATCATGAATCATGAACCCCTCGTCTTAAATTTTTATTGGGAACTCGGGAGAACAACGGGAACGTTCTTAGTTCTCTTTGAGATTCTAAATTGAGTGGGTCGACTTTTATCAGGAAAAATAGCTAAAATCGTAGTTTACGACAAAGCGCGGTTAAAATGCAGGAACAACTATGATGACTATGAGTACCCTGGGAAAACGCTAGGTTCTTAAGCTAGTTACTCATAAAGTAGAATAATAAACCTTATGCACTTATTAAAATAGTAATTGTTTTAAAGAAAACACATGTGAAAGTATATTCTTGTTTTAAGGTATGGTAGCAGGTGGGTTAGGACAGGTTATTGCCTCGCCGGCCGACCTAATTAAGGTAGTAAATAATACAGGATTTCATTTAGAATTAGTCCAGGTAAAAACCTGCATTACACTTTAAAAATGTCATTTGACAACAATCTGCCAAAAATAGAATTTTAGTAAATAAATCTGCCATTAAGTGGGGTCTTACTCCTGCCACAATATATCTGTAATGAATGATCCACATTTAGGGGTAAAAATTTAATTCCTTTCCCATCTCCACCTCAATTGAGCTTTCCATTTTATTATTAAGGGAAAATATGAATTTTTAAAGTTAAAGATACACAAGGTCCTAACCACAAGGGAAATTTTAAAGCAATGCTTAGGATCCATTTAATTTTGATGCTGATCCGGATCCTGGATCCGCACTGGAAAAAAATGGATCCGGATCCAGGTCATTTCTTTAAGATTTACTGAATTTTTTTAACAAAAAATAATCTTCAAATTTTTTGTTTTTTTTTACGCTTATTTTATCCTAAAACTTGAAGAACCATTCAAAAATGAGGAAATTTTTATAATCTCCCTTTTTTTTAAAGTTCAGATTTTGTTTTTAGGAGTAAAAAAGTTTTTTTTGCATTATTTTACTCTGGATCCGTGGATCCGCATATTTTTGCGGATTCGGATCCTAAGCACTGTTTTAAAGATACTTTTTTTTGAAGACTTTGACCGGATTTTATATTAATTAAACTAGACCATATCTCCATTTTGTTCAGGTTCGGATGCAGATGGAGGGACGGAGAAGGTTGGAGGGTTTACCCGTTCGTGTACACGGAGTCAAGGATGCACTTTCTCAGGTCACTAGAACGACAAGTTACATTTAAAGGACCGACTTCATTTAATAGGTCCAACTCAACGTTGAACAGATTTAAACATTTGCTCGTGCAAATTTGATGAAGATAGAGTTATTTAAAAAAATTTCGACAGTTCCTTCAAAACTGAATATTTTCTGGGATTTGTATACGATATTTCTTCTTCTTATAAACTTTGATTTAGCACTAATTTAACCCCTTTTTTGGACAAAATAATTTGTTGTACTCCAGATTCTAAATTAATAGAAAAATCAGAAAGTTAGAAAGTACAAAATAGTTATTTATTATGCTGAATGCTGATCTTATTGTTCCGTTTTTACTTTTATCATTATCTTTAATTAGTATGCTGAATGCTGATCTTATTGTCCTGTTTTTACTTTTATCATTATCTTTAATTATTATGCTGAATGCTGATCTTATTGTTCTGTTTGTACATTATCTATATTTATAATAACGAAAACTTTGTAAGTTTGTATTCAACACAGAAAATATTTTTGGGGAAATGCCATTGGACATTTTAACTTGGAAAACGTCTTTTGGAAATTGCTTAGCATTTTTTTTTTAATTATTACAGGTTCTGAAGGAGGGAGGGGTCAGAGCTTTGTGGAAAGGTGCAGTTCCAAATATGCAGAGGGCTGCGCTGGTCAACCTAGGAGATCTAACAACTTATGACCAGGTAGATCTGACAATATGGAAACCGAACTAGAGGAAGCTGACCTCATTGCAGGGTGGCCAAAATGTACGGATTGTACGGATTGATCTTTTTTTAACCCTAAAATTGTACGGATTGTACGGATTTGTTTTCAAATTGTACGGATTGTACGGATTTTTATCCTGGAAAATACACCGTTTTTTTTAAATTTTCACTCATTTCAGCAAATTTTTCATGAAAATAAAAAAAAATTCTCGTCAAAATGAAGTTAGTTTAACTTATTTTCTGCATTCTAAATAATATTAGATTGATTAATGTTTCAATTGACAATCAAAATTCATTCATAATTTTCGAGATATGTCCAAGAAGTGTTTATTTGAGAATATGTTCCATAAGTACTTATTTGATTGCTTATTCAAGAAGATGTTNGTATCCTGTATCCAGTATCCTGTATCCTGTATCATGTACCCTGTATCCAGTATCATGCACCTAGTATCATGTACCCAGTATTTAGTTTGTATATGTGTATGAAGCCAATTTTTTACAGATTGATTCTTGCTGAAGAAGTTTAAACCCTCTTACATGAACTGAACACAAAGGACAATGAATGAAAAATTGAATTTTAATGTTTTTTTTCAAAAATGGGATTTTTTTCGAAAATTGTACTGAGCTGAAAACTTTAGAATGAAATATCCAATTGTCAGATAATGTTGCTTCTCTGGAGTTTAAATTCATGTGGAGAACAAGCAATATTTAAACTGGATATCAAGAAAAAGAGTGGTTTAAGCCTTAATCCTGATATCCACCATTCTAAAGTTTTCAGCTCAGATTGTACAGATTTTTAAAAAAAATTTACGGATTTTTAAAAAAATTTACGATTTTTAAAAAAAATGTACGGATTGGTTTTAAAAATGTACGGATTGTACGGATTTTTAAAAAAAAAATTGTACGGATTGTACGGATTTTTTTTTCGAAATTTGTACGGATTGTACGGATTTCTTCTGAAAATGTACGGATTTTTGTACGGATTTGTTCAAAAAAGTTTTGGCCACCCTGTAATTGGTATCCGAGCTAGATACAACTGACCTAGAGGGTATTTTAGTTAGAGGAAGCTGACCTAAAGGGTATCCGAACTAATTATCGAGTAGTTTTCACAAAAAATCTAATGACTCCTTCTAACCCCTGTCCAGCTTCACTAAAATGGCGTTACCTAACATAATCTTTGTTAAGATCTAGCACATTTTTATGTCGGTAAACACTTAGTATAAAAAAATATTTAGATTTTCCTTCTCTAGGTAGGATCGGATAGCACTGAAAGATTCATAATGTACCACAGTTTCATGCATCATTGTGTACCACTGTATCAAGCATCATAGCCAGAGAAAAATTGGTTTCCCACTGAGGTCTAAAGACGACAGATTATGTATATAAAAAAATTTGGAAAATAAATTTCCCCTTTTCCCTTTTTTGTGACTCCTTCCACACTAGAAGACGTTTTTCTCAGAAAATTGAAATCGTAAATAACAATTTTTAGGCGAAAGAAGTTTTGGTTTCCAAAGGTTGGTCGTCAAAAAGTTGGGTGAGTTTAAACCTTTTTCAATAACATTTATATAATTAATTATTAAAACTATTTTTAGGACGTTTTACTTTAGAATATCCAAAAGAATTGTTTATAAACCCGTTACTCACCATTTTGCATTTCAAAAGAAGCAAGGTCCCTTTAGATTTAATTTTTAATTAAAGGGACTGTAAGCATAATTTCAAGTGAACCTCCATGCAAAGATGGTCATGCCCGATTAACAACGTTACCTTTGAAACCTTTATCTGATAAACCTTTTCAGGGTACCGTTGTAAATCGGGCATAGCCATATTTGCAAGGAAGGTCACTTGAAATTACATTTGCAGTCTCATAGATAAACAATAAGATGAATTCAAAATCGATCATCTAACTTATTGGTTGATTGGTTGATTGGTTGATTGATATTTGAAGGTGACGCATAGTTTGTCCAGCCTAGCTGCCGGTCTGTCTGCAGCTGTCATGGGAACCCCAGCAGATGTTGTTAAAGCAAGGATGATGAATCAACCAGTAGATGACAGGGGGAGGGGGGTCTACTATAGGTAATACAGGGGGAGGGGTGGTCTACTAGAGGTAATACAGGGGGAGGGGGTTCTACTTTAGGTTTTACAGGGGGAGGGGGTTCTAGTAAAGGTAACTGTTAACTATAGATAATTCTGTAAAGTAGAAATTTCTTTCTTCCAAAATTGGAACATTAAAAAACTTTCTGGCTTAAAAATTTGTATTAAATGATTATTTTAATTGAGTTTTTGATTTTAATGTTGAAATATATTTCTCTTTATATAATTCATATGAATTATACAGAGTCCGAATTTAATGAATTTGAGCCCCGTCTCAAATCCGCCAAAACCCTGGTTTCAATTGAGCGCCGGCTTAAATCTTGGACATTGAATACAATTTTAAGTGGAACCAACTATATTTGAGTGGCGTCTGAAGTCGTGGCTTAAATTATTTAAATTCGCCTTAGAGTTATTTATGAATAGTCGAGCTAAATTTTAGTTGGTCCATTAACTTCAATTGGGAATTATTTATTTTGGTATTTTTGAAGCTTAATATTTATCACGTTTAAAGTATGTCTATTGCATATTATAATACCAAAGACATGCTATTATTATTTTCAGAGGTTCTATTGATTGTTTACTCCAAGCAATTAGATCAGAAGGAGTGTTATCTCTGTATAAAGGATTTGTCCCATGTTGGCTGAGGAATAGTTTCTAACCTAGCTTATATCAATTTCAAAGAAACTGTCGTTGTAATTTCAAGATGGGCATGTCAGATTCATAACGGGAACCCCTAACGGGAACCCCTAAAATAACGGGAACCCCTCAAAATCTTTATGTGAAAATGCGGAAAATAAAGACAAAACCTTTAAGGGTACCGTTGTGAATCGGACATGACACTCTATTAACGGAGAGTCACTTAAAATTAAAGATACAGTCCCTTTAGGAAAGCTTTTATTTCATTTCTGAATGAACTTCTTTTCTTAAAACAATATCCTTTGGCCTTAAAGTTTCAAATCAAATTTTTTTATTTAAAAAGTTGCAGAAAGAAATGTGATCCAGACTGAAAAGAAAATAATAAAGAAATAGAGCTTTATTATTTTTCTGTCAAATAGATACAATCTCAACTTTCTTTCTCTTTTTAGAGATGAAGGGTTTATTTATTTATATTTATTATTTATGAGAAGAATAGAAAACAAATATTGATATTTTAACAATTTGGCTGAAAATATTCTTCACATTTATCTAGAAATTATTGATTGAAGGATGGCTCCCTGGTCTTTAACTTTCTGGTTGACTTTTGAGAAACTCAGATCCCTGGCAAATCTGGACTCTTGGTGATCCTGGGTCCAAACTCAGATCCCTGGCAAATCTGGACTCTTGGTGATCCCGGGTCCAAACTCAGATCCATGGCAAATCTGGACTCTTGGTCCAAACTACCTTTCCCCCTTGGACTTCTTGTTAAAGAGACTGAATACATCTGTAGGGAGGCATAGCCGTTTCATAACGGTGCCCTTTAAACCTCTTTCTAGCTACACTGAAGAATGTATACCAGTCTTTAAAAGTGTTAAATTCTGAAAAATTCCTTTGGTGCCTCTGAATAATCTATTTTCAGAGAGAAGATATCTCATTCATCCCTGATCAGATAAAGGCTGAAAGGGTACTGATGTGAATCGGAAATGCCACTCAACAAAAAAGGAGTCAATTGAAATTACGACCATAGTCTCGTCAAGTTGAGCCGAGCAGCGCAGTGAAGTTTAGATCCGGTTTGAAATCCAACTTTGATTTGTAGTCGGCAGATGTAGTCATCAAGATATTTTTATACTTATACATGCAAATTTTTGAAAAGTATTTTTTTTAATAAATTTATGCACATTTTATCGACATTAAATACATGATATATATTTATGTTCCAGACTTTGTTTGGACTTTAATAAGGACCTTAGAGCTCTTTAAATCCAACAATCTAAAAGATTTCAATTCACGCCGAAAAATATTGTGGCAAAAATCTGCGTACTGTAGTGAATTAAAAAATTAAAAATAAGACTATTTTAAATCTGTACAGTCGTCCCTTGGTTCGCTTTAATAATTTTTGCCTCTGAAACCACAAAATATTGGCCGATGTGATATCATAGGTAGAACCATAGTTACACTATGGTTACGTTTTACCAGAGCAGTGTAGATACAGGGTGTCCCAATAAACATGGGAAATCAGTGACGAATTCGATATCGTCTTTTTAAATAATTCTTCAATTTAGTATAGTGATACCTACCGAGAAAGCTGTAATCTGTAAGAGTTTCGTCTGCTATGTTCACATTTTGTTTGTTTATGTTTTGACTGCATACGGTTGTACTTTGTAAAACAAGAAAATTGCAGTTTACAAACAGAGTAAACTTGTCCGTCTTCACTATTCATATTGCGGAGACATTATAGACACATCTTTTCATAAAATAAACTCTAGCAGACATAATAATGTAGCTTTAAAAGTACGTATTACATAGCTAATTCATAACAAAGACGATAAACAATTCGTCACTGAATTCCCATGTTTTTTGGGACACCCTGTAGATAGATAAGAAATATAGTTGTACTTATGGTAACATGAATAAGAAATTGGCCATATGTGTATATCTTCAAATTCTTGAGCTAGACGAATAATCTTTTATTTTATTAGAATTATTGATATTGCTTGTTAGTACTTATCACCACCGCAGTTAAACCACAGGTTTATTATCAATTCAAGTTTTTGTTTATTTAAATAAATATTAAGTATTAAATGTACAGAAGTTTGAAAATGTTTACAATGAATTTGCATGCTTTAAAACCATATTAATCGGCACATCTCTCACCCTCTCCTCCTCTGTATCCAGGTCTAGGTTAGTACTGTAGTACTTCTCCTTCTCCTCGGAGTAAGGTTCGGAATATTTCTCCTGAACCCTGGCGGAGACTGCTTGAAATATCTCCTGGATAGTTGCCTGGATATCCTCCCCAGAATAGGTCTCGTTCTACAAACAGAAAATAAGTAAATCTAGTAAAAATTTACTTAAAGTTGGGTTACTATTGACGGGGGGGGGGGGGTATAGGGACTGAGCCCCTCCTCCTTGGAAGAACGATATGCCGTGGAGATTTCTTCACTTAAAAATGTTGTTACTTATGTTCTGAACCTTAAACTTTTAAATTTAATAAAAGAATAAATAAGATTTTCGGTACTTAAATTCCCTTTGTAATTCAATATTGTTTTATATCTTATTCTTTGTGGTATTGATATTTTTTTAATATAGAAGAAGACCAAGTTATTTACTTTTAATATCAGGAAGATCGAAAATGTTTAATTCTGATAATTTGTCCATTGTTTCTGAAGCAAGAAATGTACAAGTCACATTTGCTGAGGAACCACATAATAACCAGTTTTCAAAAGTAAACATGAATATTCATTCTTGTTCAGACAAGGCTGTTCAGGGTACTGACTACCGTTGTGAATCCGGCATGCCACTATTCACCTCAAGGCCATTGAAAAAACAAACATGATTTTTTTAAATTCTCATGTTTATTTGAACTAACTGTAGTAAAATTTACTAAATGTAGGAAATAGGAATAGGAAATATACACTATACAGCTAGGGTGTCCCATGAAAAATGACAACAGTTTGTGAATTAGTTCAGAATGTCTTCTTCCATAATTTGTTGAGTTGTTTGATACCAAAGAAAATAATAAAAATATTATTTGGGAGTCAAGTTATAGAATAATTGATTTCAAAGTAAAATATATTTAAACAAAAAATTTTCTAACGAAATAGACTGCAAAAAGCCTGTGATGTATAATACAGTATAGGGAAGACGACATGCATAACTGTTTATTAACTATCATGTTTCGTACATAAATGTCACTGCAAACATGCAACTAAAAGGATGAATGTAAAAGGGTAAAGATGAAAATAAATCTGTTAAAAACAAACATTTATAACAAGAAACTGTATCCCTACCTTCTCAAACTGTCCAAGGAGAAACTTGGCAGAGCTGCCCAGTACTTTTTTCATCTCGGAGTAGATTTCTCTGTTTGACTCCGTCCTGGCTCGGTTCAGAGCTGACTCACAGTCCTGAAAATATAAGAAAGGATGTAGCGGAGTAGGATCACAAACTTGTCAGTTCTTTCGGGTCTTTTTCTTCATTTCTTTAGTTCATTAACATAAATATAGACTTAGAATTTCGCAGACGTAAGAGGGGGGATTTCTTTAATTTGTCGAGCCTGCAAAAAAATCCAGCACAAAGAAATTTGTGAAGTTGTGCGTAAATTACAAAAAAAGTTTTAAAGATTTGTCAAGGAAAAATCAACTCAACCGTTATCCTTAAAAATATAATTGTATAATTAATTCTACAATTGTTGTTCATGAAGCAATATTCATTTAATATCCCGAGTCCGGGCATTTCTAAAATGTGGTCTGCTGTTTAAAAAAATTTTAAACTTCCAATTCCTTTTTTGTTTTAGCTAGCATGAGAGGTAGATAGACCACATTTTGACAAGGTGAACACTAAACATTCGCGCAAACCTGTTTTTGATACAAACGTTTTTGCTCAATAGCTCGCCAAGATAATCTTTAAGTTGCTCTCAACTTTCATGATTATTTGAAGACCTTTTACCTGAAGTCGGTGAAGTAGTTCCTCTTGGTTCTCCGCCTGTACCCTCTCCTCCTCCTTGAGCTGTTCCAACTCTCGGAGCTGTTCATCCTTCTCCTCCAGGAGCATCATCAACTTCTTTATCTTTTCCGCCTGGTTCCAAACCTGCTCCTGGTCTCCTGGATTACTGGTAGTGCTCCGAACTGTTTTACCTGAGTTTAATAACAAATTATAAAGAAAGTAGAAGTGGAGAAGTTAGACAAATTTGTTTTTATAATTCAGACCCTTTATTTTAAAGGTTGCAATCCGATTGTATAGCGCCTTTATTCTTTGAGCGAGAAAAAATGAGATATTTTTGCCCTTCTTTCTAAAATTCATATTTTCTGTATAACTAGCTTGGGAACCCAGCGTTGCCCGGGGTAATCACTACTCATAGTTACTCCCGCTGTTTACCAGCGCTTGGTTGTAAATTACGATTTTAGCTATTTTGCCCTAAAAAAGTGGACCCACTCCGCTTAGAAGCTTAAACCAAGAAAAGAACATTCCCACGGTTCTCCCAAGTTCTCCAATCAATATTTGATGCCAATCGGCTTTGTTCCACAGTAATGCTCGGACAAACAAAAAGAGATTACAACTTTACATATATAGATACATTATATGAAAGTGGCTTGCATATCTTTGCAGAAGAGACAAGAAAGGAAAACTACAGAATTTTTTTTTTTGAAGATAGGAATACAACATCGTTATAATAGAAAGGTTGAAAGATAACTATTTAGTTTTAATCGGTTCAATTACTTTAAACTTTTGGCAAAAGATCTGTTGATTAGACAAATATGTCTAAATCAATTTTTTTGTTCATTGATATTTACTGATATAATTAAAATTTGTGATTGCCTGCGCCCAAACTTGATTTGATATCAAAGGTTTGCAGTTTGATTGTATCCAGGTCTCTTTTTATCTCAGTAAATGTATCCGAGGGGACGGATCCTGGGTTCCCGGATCTCCGGAGCAGTTCATCCACCTTGTCGGATATCCTGGTCATATTCATCCTCATCTCAGTATTGGAGATCCTTGTCTCGCTCAGCAGAAGGTTCAGCTCCTGACGACTCATCTCATAGCTCATCTCCTTAAAAACAAAATCTGTTTTTTTCATTTTATTTTTACGGACCCCGAAAAAATTCTCAACAACATTCGGACTTTTAATATTTGAATCTATCAATTCTGAAAGACCAAATAGTTTCAAATAATTTTAAAATATCAAAGTCTTACACCATCAGATTGCGAAGATATAGGGATTAGAAAGTTAAAACAAATAAACTCAAAAAATATGTTATAACAGTACACAGCTATACAACATCTAAATAAATTACTACCATTTATGAAAAGTAAGTTATTGACTTGTTTTATGAAATCAAAATATTTAAATGAAAAATTGGAGTTTGTGGGGAGTGTTCAATTTCTTTCTAGTTTCTACTTACTGGTCTGCATTGGAACAGTGCTCCGGGACATGAAGCTGAATGGTTGGATTGAATACTTTGTCTTCTCACGGTTTCCTTGTGCTCTTCCTGGACCCCAGATCTGTTACTCCGGGTACCCTCCTCACTACGAATAGGTTCTAACTCCGGTAACTCTGGAGTCAGATTCTGTCTCGGGTTGAAAACATTGTGTCCAATATGTTTCACCTTGGTTAAAATCTTATCCTGACTTGAAATCTCCGAGGTAGAGGAAACCACTGAACTAGAATTATCCTGTAAAGAGTTTTTGATATCGGTCTCTTTTGTTTTAGTTCTGGTTACATGAAGATCATAGGCTAGAGATACATCAGGGTTCTCAGGGCAGTGCAAGATGAGAAACTTTCTTCCTCCTTTCTTCATTCCCTTGATTGAGTTCTCCCAGCCTGTGTATCCAGGAGTACCTGGAGAACCAACCTTACATTTCTTCCCGGTTAGGTTCTCCTTCATTAATCCTATACTCTGGTTCTCTACATTCCAACCTGAAAAATAATGTTTAGATACAATCTTGGATCTAATTTAAACCACGTCCACATGGGAAACTATTGTTGATAAAGTACATTAGCAAGTTAGCTTAACGGGTACGCCCGAGAGGTCACACCGATACCCTTTAAATGTGGATGATACCGTCGTTTTCTCAGATTTTAAAGTGTTTATAGTGTGACAATTTCTTTCATTGTTTCTCCGTCATAAATTCACCTATAAACAGAAAAATATCAGGTTAATATAATGAATCAAGCAGAAATACAGAGTGATTGAATAATTGATCAAATAATAATTTCAAGGGCAGCGTTGTAAATTAGTCATGCCACTTTATGCATTGATAAATTATGTTTACAATCCCTTGAGGTTATAAATCCTTAACCGAAAATTTTTAATAAGTTTGAGATTTAATTCAGGCTTAAATCCGCGGGTTAGACTGTTTAACTTTTTGATTTTCAAATATACAGTAATATGTTAAATCAATAATCATTATGTTTTCTAAGTTGGAGTAATTCAAAGCAAATTCTTTCTTTAATTAAACAGTCTCAAATTCTCCAATTTCGGAGATAAGAGAAAAAAAAATCTGAAATCATAAAATTTGACGAAAGAGAAATTAGTAAACTATATTTTAACATTAACAAATTCAATAATTAAAACTCTTCTATCAAAGGTTTCAGAGTTGGAGAGTTTAGAGAGTTTAGATAGTTTAGTTCTGAAACTCCTTGCTCAGTTTATATTACCTTTAAACTTTATCTTAAAAGGGTTTAACTTACTCTTCAGGATTAAACTTTATTTTGAGGATTTATATTCGAGGCAAGGTTTAATTCTACAATATCTCCTTATATCTACACTCCGACCTATACTGACCTGTTAGGTTTAATTCTACAATATCTCCTATATCTACACTGCGACCTATACTGACCTGTTAGGTTTAATTCTACAATATCTCCTTATATCTACACTCCGACCTATACTGACCTGTTAGGTGTAATTCTACAATATCTCCTATATCTACACTCCAACCTATACTGACCTGTGAGGTTTAATTCTACAATATCTCCTATATCTACACTCCGACCTATACTGATCTGTAAGGTGTAATTTTACAATATATCCTATACCTATAACTGTACTCCGACCTATACTGACTGACCTGTGAGGTTTAATTCTACAATATCTCCTATATCTACACTCCAACCTATACTGACCTGTGAGGTTTAATTCACAATATCTCCTATATCTACACTCCGACCTATACTGACCTGTTAGGTGTAATTTTACAATATCCTATATATACACTCCGACCTATACTGACCTGTGAGGTTTAATTCTACAATATCTCCTATATCTACACTCCGACCCTCTCCATGGGTTAGATCACACTCCAGAGAATCTTCAAACCTGAGATACAAAAATTCGTGTTAAAATTGGCAGTTAGTGTCTCTTTGTTATTTGTAAGGCTCCCAAATTCTCAAATAAAACATTCTTGATTCTTGTAAATCACAAACATCATTAGAACTTTTGATAAAATCCAAACAACGGTGTACGTATTTAAAATTCTTATAAATTACAAATGCAAATGCATCTTACTTGAACTGTCGTTGAAATGTCAAGTGACCTTCTATTTAAAAAAAGAGGGCATGTCAGATTTACAACAGTACCCCAAAAACCTTCTGATGGAAAATGTGGGAAGACATCGCCGAGGGACCACATTTGAAACAGAAAAAAATCATATTTTATTCATAAGTCGGACATGCTACTCTTTAATTGGTGAGTCACTTGAAATAACGTCTACAGTCCCTTTAATCACCTGTACACGGTTTTGCAGAGAAGAACCTGTTTTGCAAAATTTATTAAAACATCCTGGGATTCGAACCCAACCGTCCAAGAGTTCTTGATATCGTCCACAAAGTTAGCATAGTTGTTGGGCTGGATGTTGAGGTTGAGTGTTGTTGTGATGTTGGCTACAGCTACAGGCTGTTGTTTACCCCGGTACAACAACAACTGGTAAAACTGTGATTCTTTGTTTCCTGGAACGATAACAGTTTAAAATTATGTTGGGCTGAATGTGAATAGTTCGCGACAGGACGAGTTGGTTAGTTAGTGTGACGAGTATTGGTAGTTTATGCGTGGTGGGAGGACGAGTATTGGTAGTTTCTTGGTGAGAGGACGAGTATTGTTAGTTTATGCATGGTGGGAGGACGAGTATTGTTAGTTTATGTATGGTGGGAGGACGAGTATTGTTAGTTTATGTATGATGGGAGGACGAGTATTGTTAGGTTATGTATGATTGGAGGATGAGTATTGTTAGTTTATGTATGATGGGAGGACGAGTATTGTTAGTTTATGTATGATGGGAGGACGAGTATTGTTAGTTTATGTATGATGGAAGGACGAGTATTGTTAGTTTATGTATGATGGGAGGACGAGTATTGTTAGTTTATGTATGGTGGGAGGACGAGTATTGTTAGTTTATGCATGGTGGGAGGACGAGTATTGTTATTTGATGCATAGTGGGAGGACGAGTATTGTTAGTTTATTTATGGTGGGAGGACGAGTATTGTTAGTTTATTTATGGTGGGAGGACGAGTATTGTTAGTTTATGCATGGTGGGAGGACGAGTATTGTTAGTTTATGCATGGTGGTATTTACCTATTATAGCCAAACCAAGTTTCCCCAAGGACTTGAAACCATTGTTTTCAAACTTATACACGTGGACTGCAGTCGCCATCTTTACTCCGGCATGGATATTAGACATTGGTTCATATCCTTGCACTAGTCCCTGGTTCTTCTCATCTTTCTCATCCTAGGAGGAAGAAAACATATAAGTGTCATAAAAAGCAGGTCGTTGCACAGTCTGCTTTCTGGGCAGAAATTGGAACCGAGTTTTTGCCACAAACTCAGATTTTTTAATTCTTTTATCTTTGCTACTCTGTCATAGACCTTTGATATTTGAATTATGTTGGATCAAATAATCTAAGTTTAAAATAGCAAAGGTTTACATTAACAGGCTGAAAAGATATAGAGGTTAACTTATCTATTTGGGGAAGAAAAAAGACATATTTCCATCAGTGAAGCTTATTCATTGGATTTAATTGGTTTAAAAAATTGAGCAACTTAAAAAAATTCTTCTTAGTTTAATTTTAGAAATAGCTTTCAAAGGAATTGAGTTTTTGCCACATGCAATGCCAATTTTATAATACCTAAATCTCAACATACCTTCCTTATTTCAAACTTTGTTTGGTCCACCAGAATTCTTAGTTTGAAATATCTACGGTCTACAACATTTGGTTTCAAAGAAATGGGGATTTAAAAATCAGAGTTTGTGGCAAAGACTCAATTCCTTTACCTTATTTTGGAAAGCAGTTTGTATGGGTTTGTTTTGTTTATTAGTCAGGGTTTCTGGTTTACTGCGCTCATCAGATCCAAACACGTTGGACAAACCTAAAATATAAATATAGATTGAGAAATAGACATTAAAGGGACTGTACACGTTATTTCAAGTGAATCCCATTTATATCTCAATAAATTTTGAACATTGATTATTCTCAATTGCGATTTCTCTATAAAAGTGGTTTGCGGATTTCTGCTACGGAAGCAATGGATGAAATTAGAAACTTTCCAAGCTAGAAAACGACGAAATATTTTACGATGTTAATCAGATAAGGTTTGAATGATATCGTTGTTAATGTTGAGGATCTCTTGAACTTACAACGTGACAACTTCCTTCAAAGAATTAGAATCCGTCAACCATTATTTTTAGAATCTTCTCCTTGCATTGTTTTAAACATTAGTTAATTAATCTTTATATTTGCATTCATTATATTATTGTCAATTCTGAAAATTTTCATCAATAAACAAGATTTTGAATATTTTTGATTTACTGGATGTTTACGTAATGGTGCGGGTACAACTATTTAGTTTATTGAAAATAGACCTTTACTTAAATTGACAATGCTGAAAGGGAAATATTTGGATTATATTGTGTATTTTTACTTGATATTTATTTTTGTGAAATTCATGTTTTGATAATTTTCACGCAAAAACCTTTTTTACCCGTTATTTGTATTCTCTTCTTGCCATATTCAATCTGGTTAAAGAGAGTGACTGGCTAGGTATGATATTTGAACTGAGAGAAAAATTTCATGATTCATTTCATACATATAAAACTTTTGTACGCTCTATAACTGCTTCTGGAGGCTTGCTCTCAAGATTCGATTTTTAAGAGAAATTTACCAACCCGGACAAATAACGTAAAGAAAAGTATTCTGAAAACTTATTTGTTGATTTTTTTTCTTTTTAATACTGCAATCTCAGTTCAACTCCCATACCTAGCTATAGTAGCTTCTTTTAAACACGTTAATTTTATACTTAAAACTCTTCACAAACAAAGAAGAAAAGCTCTAAGAAAAGTTAAGAAATGTTAATAGTTAACATTCCTCACTAAAATACTGCAGCTGTAAAAACGTTATTCAGTTCAGATCTTTTTTTGATTCAATTAAGCAATTGGGTTGTAAGTTTCAAAAATACAAAACTCAAGTTGACCGTTCATTTTAACTCGAGTTGACCGACCAAAATCATTAGAAAAAATAGCTGATTTGACCGCTTCATAAACAAGAAAATCTACCATGAGTTGACCCCTTTTATTCCATGAGCTGAACTCCCTAAAATAATGAAAAAACAACCTGAGTTGACCTCCTAGAAATAATAGAAAATAACCTGAGTTGACCTACTAGAACAAAAAGAAACTAACATGAGTTGACCTCCTAGAAATAATGAAAAACTGACTTGAGTTAACAGCTTCTATATCATGAGTGGACCTCCTAGAAATAAAGGAAACTAACCTGAGTTGACCTCATAGAAATAATGAAAACTAACCTGAGCTGACCGCTCCAAAATCATCATCGTCCGAATTCGTTTCTAAGAAACTAAACATTGCTATGAAAATTGAAAAATACATAGATATATCCATACAATAAAGCTCATTCATATTTGTACATATATTTGCAAAACGGCTCGACCATTTGGCTGAATTTCGTCGAGTGAACCCATAGGTACCCCAGGGGTGACATGGGCAAAATTGAAATTCTACTGGCATCAAAATTCAATACCAAGCGAGGGTAATCGGGAGGAGTAATTATGACGAATAATAATATAAACCTGGGGAACACCGGGTACAAGCTTACATTATATAAATCAGCTACTTCTCACAAATTCATTAATTCTGGTCCGTGATGTCTCGAGAGCTTAGAGATTTTAAATCTTGGATTTTGCTAGACTTAATAGTGAAAGTTTCAAATATTAAAAGGTTTATACCATCAGATACCAAAGATATTGATCTTAACAAATTTAGTTCTTTTGCAAGCGAAACTATTTTCTGAACTAGGGAAATTCCTAAACTGAATGCACTGAGCAGTGTTGTGATAATTTATATTTTCAAGGTGAAAATTCCCCTTTATAATATATCAGATATACAGGGAACAGCATTCATTTTCATTATTATTATAAATCATGGAAAAGTTCAAGTAGATATATATGAAAATATATTTTTTAATTGTCATAAAGAGACTCCTTGACTTACTATGACTTAATTTCATAAAATAAAGTACACCGTTGTACTTCATTACTCTTTAACAAACTTATATTACTCCATTAAAACGAAATCACTCTCAGCTATCTGAATACGTATCTAATCACTTCCAATAACTTACACTAAAGCTTTTAAAAATTAAAATTACTATAACTATCTCATTTTAAAGTTACCAAATATGTTTCACTAAAATATGACAATGATTATAAAACCACTAATATGTTGAGTAGTTCCACTATCAACTATAAATCTACTACTACTAGAGAGCCTGCGGAATGAAATGTTTAGTTTCCTGAACCTGAACTGAACTAAGAATCCTCCCCTCCCCTCCCCCATAAACAGCTGCAGTGCAGGGCATATAGGCAGTATATAGGCAGTTTACAGGTGAGGGGGGGGGGGTATTTAAAAAAATAAGATTATTGTAAAATCTTGTGTTTTGATGAGGTTTAAAAGGAATAAGAGATGTATGAAATGAAAAGAAGAAATCATGACTAACATAACATAACTCAAATGACGTCACTCTAGAAATATCTCTATCTATCTGTCTATCTATCTATTTATCTATCTATCTATCTATCTATCTATGTTCTGGGGGAGTTCCCTGTGAGAAACTAGAATGAAACATAGAACTAGAATACTCGATGGACTCGACTCAAAATAAATAAAGTAAATTTAATCTCAACAAAATTAAATGAATTTTTAGCCAAATTAATTAGAGTAACAAATTTTTCATATTTATAATAAATTGCATTCTTTAGTTTTGTGTTATAAAGATAGTCTGTATGTAATATTACAGATTTATATTGTATTATTTGTATATCTAATATTATAGGTTTATACTGTGTTATTTTGTATATGTAATATTACAGATATAAATACCATGTATTATTTTGTATATTTAATATAACAGATTTATATTGTATAGTTTTGTATATCTAATTTTACAGATTTATAATGTTTTATTTTGTATGTTTAAAATTACAGATTTATATTGTATTATTTTGTATATTTAAAATTAAAGATTTATAATGTATTATTTGTATATCTAATATTACAGATTTATATTGTATACTATTTTGTATATTTAAAATTACAGATTTATAATGTATCATTTTGTATATCTAATATTACAGATTTATAATGTATCATTTTGTATATCTAATATTGCAGATTTTTAATGTATTAATTTGTATATTTAAAATTACAGATTTATAATGTATCATTTTGTATATCTAATATTACAAATTTATAATGTATCATCTGTATATCTAATTGCAGATTTGTAATGTATCATTTTGTATATCTATAATTGTAGATTTTTAATGTATTATTTTGTATATTTAAAATTACAGATTTATAATGTATCATTTTGTATATCTAATATTACAGATTTATAATGTATCAT